TCTTATATTATTACTACTGTAGGTACTCACTCAGCATACCGTTAGTGTGCTAATTACTTTCATCAGGTGATTCCTTTATTAGCAAAACTTGGCTAAAAATATAAATTCATGCATTTTTGCCTCTATAGCTTGGTATTTCTATTTGCTTGGAGAAGTCATATTTTATCACTTCACCATCTTTTATATGTGCAATTTTAGCGTGGAACTTAGTAACCTGCATTTCCTGCTCACTTTGAACACGTCTGATTTCCATTTTATCCTTCACATTTGTTTTCCCCGTTGACGATAATTGTTACTGTTACAGTTAGAGATGCCTTGGTGTCCACTGATATTTCTTGTAGTTCCATTGGCTTTTAATTATTGGGCTTGATGGCGTCTTTAGCACTAATCTTTTGGAACGAATGTCCCAAATCTTAATTAAAAGTCATGTCTTCTGTGTCCAGCCATCTGCTCTGTGACACAACCAAAACACTGCTGCATTCGAAGTTAGTGCTGAAGATGTCACCAAGCCTTATGACGAGAGGTCCACACAAAGTACTAAAGCTCGAGGAGCAAACCACCATTATGCTGAATTCTAAAATCTTTGTTGACAAAATGACGTCTAGTTAACAACCGTTCTAATAGCATGTTGTTCTTTAGATGCTGCATTAAGAGAAGTAAGTGTAAGTAGTTCTAAGTATTTCTAAGTCTGACTGAGCAGTTATTGGGCATTTTCATCTTTTGATTATTCAACTGAAATTAACACATGGTAAGAATGTATTCCTAGATTTCAATTTGTTAACATGAACTGCCGAATTAAAATTTATTTGTTTTTTCATTCTACAACATTAGTTTTTCAAATAATGAATATCCACTAAGTTTTTATGGGATGTTAGTGGTATCATCCATGTAATCGTAATTATAATGTCTGTTTGAAGGTAGTATTTAGATCTTCCATAGTTCGAGGCTACCATGATTCAACAAACAAAAAGAAAACAACCTGGACGGAGTGAGATTAGACCTAGATAGTTTTATAATTTACACTTTTCTTGTAGTAATTTATGTGTTTTAGTCATGTATTCAACCTTTGGCTACTATAAGTAACTTAGCAAGAGTGAACTTTCAAACTGGACACTACATAAAGTCGCAACCTTTTTATGATTTTTATTTTGAGCGAAATTCATGGTTTTATTGATTCTAATCAAACGTTTTAGGCTGTGATGCGCCTAAGACATGGTTAGAGTGGAATAACAAAACAGGTAGTAGTTTTGTGATGCGGAATCACCAATTGTAATATAGAGTGTACTCACTACATCCGCAGCATGATCGACGAGATAACAAGATGACAATATGAAGGTATTTAAATGCTGCCAACATTAAGGAAACCTCGTCAGGTTATATGTAAAGAACCAGGAAATTTCACCAAACGGCTCATTTCGACAGAAGTTTAGTAAACGTGTGACAGTTACTATGCAAAAGTTGACTGTATTGTATCACTATCGTTTATGTCACAAAACTTAAAGTGAACAGCTGTTGCACTCTTACGTAGACAGAAATGTGAGTAGAAATTTATTTATTGATTGGACCATCAGATGTTTTGTCACTTTTAGTCACAGTATCCTCTAGATAGCTTTTAGACCTGGTTATTCAGTCCTTTTTTTCGAACATCGCCTTAGGTTACCGATCATCTCATACACAAACTAGATGCGCGTACTTTGTGGCTCAGAAAACCTCCAGAAGTGTATGCTGTTTAGCTGATTTTGGAGTTTAACGCATTTCAGACTAACTTATTACTCATAAATTAAATGATGCCTTTTTAAACATTTAATCATGTACAACTTATATCTTGGCAACAGCAATCGCTCAATTTTCCCAATTTGTCAACAACCTAAGTACCCTACTTAAAATTCCAGACTATGTAATCGGTGTTCCTACCATTCGTATATATTGATGAACTATTGTATTACGTGTATATGCTGGTTACGTCATGTGATGTCATTTATGCAACGAAAAGCAAACTGTCCCCAATTTCCTACATGCTAAAAATTCGAGTGTTTGCGTAGTTCAACATGAGATTAGTTGATCTCCAGTGGTCAATCAGTGTATTTAACCCAGCCCTACAGGAGGTCAGTCGCAGTCCGAATATCTCAGTGGTAGCGTTTCTGACTGCAGTTTTGGCTGACGTGGGTCCAGATCTCAAGTGGGACATTAATTCTGTTGACATTGTGGATATTTCTTGCTGACGAGTGCCAAGAAGGGCGAAAATTAAGTTTAGAGCTTCCTTTCGCTTGCTCCTATTCAACCAATATCTCTTTCAGTGCATCGAGATGGTGAGTCTCTCAGCCTACTGGCCATGCTGCAAAGTGATCGATAGTGTTTGTTCAGCATCAGGCCTAGACAATATGAAATTGGTTGCTCTTCAATGACCAATCAACGTATATGTGTAGGTCACATTCCGCGCTTCTTCCTTTTGTTCGGTTAGGTTACGTTGTCGTTTGTGGATGATTAGATATTTTCTAGTAACATAAATTTGTTCTTACTTGCATATCTTCAGTGATTTTTCTTCTGTTTTTGGCCTTGGCTTTCAATAATACTAGCCAAATGTCACTATCATCAAAATTTATTTCGAAATATGATTTATTGTTTTATTATTTGGAAGAACTTTCAAGATTTTAACTTTTATATATCATCTATACATGTCAGTAAAATACCCTACTGACTATGTTTCACTTTTTTCATTCATAGTACGCATAACAGTTGACACAAGAAATCTATTTGTTCTGAAGGTGAATCAGTGGTGTATTCAACATTTTGCACTGAATAAAAACAGAATAACAGTGTATTCTAAAATGGATATTTATATGGTGGGATACATTTGAGGTCTAAAAATGTATTCTTTTAGTTAAGTAGTGTATGGTTTTGATATTTGAAATATAATTGAGTTTCTTACTTAAATACAAGAAGTTAGTGTAGAACCACAGTGTTTAGTGGAAATTTTAGGCCTAGACTCTACCTTGCGATGGTTTGTTTGTATGAGGATTAATATCATTCTTTTAAAAACGTAGCATACACAATGTGTCAATGAGAAAAAGAAAAAGTAAACTGTCATCAGGCCGTTAAAATATATCCACATTTTAAGCGGTTGCATAATCTAAGAGTGGTAGTTATGTGAACACTACTAATTTAGGAATTCAAAAAGTTTAGTAAAAAGTTGCTTTGTTAAGGGTTTGGAAAGAGCACTCAGTAATGCACTGCGAAATATCAGTCGTAAAAGGGTTAAATAGACCCACAAATATGATCCTAGGGATTTTCATTAACAATAATACGGAAGAAAAGATAAATAAGTTGATAACTTACATCGATGAGTCAAAGAAACTTCTTTTGAAGCTTCGTGATTTGATTGGTAATCTGTTCAAAATGCTTACTAGTAGACTATTATATTCCTGGGAAACCACTCTTAGGGCGAACTTTCCCAAATAAATTGATTTGATCACCATGTTTGTAATACATAATTCTTCATACATTCTCAACAGTATGCATTCATAGATGATGACTACCTATAGATACTTAAAGTCACATCCACTCAGCACTGGCAGCTAATGAGTAAACTATACACAATTATAGTGCTGCACGATTAACCATCTGTCACAGATGATACAGATTCACCCTCTAAAAACTGCCGAAACTGTAGCCAGCAAAGTAGAGAAGCCGAAATTTTGTATTTGGAAGTTAACACCTGCTGTTATTTGACCGCCCTGATTTATCCTGAATGTTAGGTAAACCAGTCTTTAACGATGTGTTTATGCTTTTCTTATTGATTCGTTGTCTCATTGTTACCTCTCACATTTTGTTTTACCGCCATTTGTGCCTAATATTCATCAGTTCTCACTAATCTTTCAGTCCTCTGAATTCATTTCTTGTCTAAGCTTTATTTAATGAATTTTATATCTGTTAATCCTTTTATCCACTGACTCAATACAATTTTTTATCTCAACTTTACTTGACTCGACATGTAACTTCCATGCCAAGATTTTTGAACTGCCTGATGTACATAATTCTCAACGTTGTGGTATTCAGGGGATAAGGCTGATAATACTTTGTCCTAAGTATATATTTACGCTAACTTTACTCATGTTTTTCATTTTGATATACAGATATTTTACATTTAAATTTCAGCTTGTGAGTACTGCACTCTAAGTTTAATTATTCGGTCAAAATTGACCACTGCTTTAAAGTTGATAGCTTACTGGAAGTTTATGTAATGTGGTATTCCTATGACGAACAGGAATCTTAAGATATCTGAAGTTTTTCAAGTAAGGCAGGAAGTGAAGGTGGGGCGTTTTCAAGAAGGACTCCAGAATTCACTGTTGTGGATAGACTGACTGGCTGTCACTTCTCACGAAGGTTTTCAATAAACAGATTCATTTCAGGCAAATTCCATACAAATCTTAAAACTTCAGGATTGGAACCAGCGGCTGCTATCCAGGTTTTTATTTTATTTCGGTCACCACCATCTGGAGAACAGAGATCATTCTGTAAAACCATACTCATTTCAGTTTTATGAACAGGAATATGAATTTCTTAATTTATTCCTCTTCAGGAAGAAAAATAAAGGAATAATTCTGGTGAACAAATGACCTTAAAACATGCATACCAAAGTGTTCATAAACTAGTTTTTGTTCTAAGATAATAGGAGAACTTTGTCATCGTGGTAATGTATAGCTCTATGTTTGTGTTTGTTCGACATTTCAAACCATGAAACCCTATTGCTTACTTAGAGATACTGCTTCACTATGTAACCTGTCCAATAAATAAATAAATTAAGTGCATACACTGAGATAGAAAATAACACTCCGCTTACGAGTATGTAAAAATCCTATCTTTATATTTTGAACAGGATCACCATTCTGTTCAACATTAGCTTTATCCCCCAATTTTCATTATATATTTGAGTAAATAAATCAGAAGAATTTTACATTCTCTCAACATGCTCTAAATGTCCTCCTGAAATATTTTTACAGATAAACCTGATGTTTATATTCAATTGATCAGTGTTCTCGTGGTTGAAGTGGATTAAAATATATGCGAATATGGACGGACAATGCATAGGCAAGGGATTACGTATGATACAAGTGCGTGTACTTCATTTGGATGACAGTATACATACTTTTCAAATCTCGGTAAGTGGATGTGCAATTATTCTAGCATCAGAGACATTGGTGTAGTATTCGCTGTTTTTTTTTACATCACTTTACTTACGCTATTTGCATGACAAGAGAATTACTTTTAGTCTTCAGATAGCAATTATTGCCAATATTCCGTCATTTATCACTTAGATAGAGATAAAATGTTCATTTTTAGCTTTGATTTCTTCATTTAAGTCTTCATAGTGGAATATAGACTTTTTCTTGGATTTTACTTAAGCGTCGTCAATGGAATGTATAAACTATCAAATACCATACTTCTAAAGCCAAAGCCAGTTTGCATACAGTAGCTGTGTTTTGTCACTGTGGATGAGGTGGTCATTTCTATTTCCAAAAAATCCTGATAACCAAAGGAAACTGATACAGTATTTAGAAATTTATGAGATCATAATACGAAATGCCAACTTTATTCATTTAGGTTTAGTCGGTTTGACGAAACTCAGCAGTTCACATAGTTCCATTTTCTTTTCACAATGCAAGACAGATGCCTCATATTTATAGATTCATTTAAAGCTAATCATGTAAGAAGGCTGTTATAGAATGCAGATTGACAAAACTTCATAAGAAGTCGTAAATGCGTGACACCTTTTTCAACCAATCGTTTTACTTCGAAAATTTCGGTAAAAATACGTGAATCAACGTGTAATTATCAGGCTGGTTGAAGGGATGGAAAATCAACGGGATTTAAATCTAATAGGTCTGGAAATAGCCTAGGTCAGTGTAAATTTATATAAACTATTGTATTTTGCATATATTGTTGACGTTGTAAATACACTTTGTTATCATACCGCCTTTTTCCATCACGGAAGAAGTGAGAGATCAGTAAAGGTGGAATCTGAAGGTTATTGTACAAACGTCCACATATAAATAACTTAGGCTATATCAAGTCACTGTAAATTTATAAAAAAGGTTTTATTGACTTTTCATGTTGGGTCGCTGAAGAGAGTTAAACTGGTTTCATTTTCTTTACAAACTAGTGTATATGCTGTTTATTCTGAGGCTTTTGCACTCCGTATCGCGATATCCGCAGATATACATTACTGAGATTCTAAATCAGATTTCAGTCACTCAGCGTTGATTAATATGACACCTTTTCTGTGTGATAATGGACGACTACGTTTTTAGCAATTGTCCTTGTGCTAACTTGGTAGGCGCATAGGCTAATCACTAATTATTCATACTTGTTATATACTCACGAATACGAGACCAAGAAAGAACACGATAGCGTAGTCGGATGGAATAGTATATTTGTGAGGTCGTACCAAGATACCAATGCGTCCCAACTAACTGGCTAGAGGGTCGATTACGAGCAGTGCAACTGAACACGACAGCGTGCCAAATGGCGTGGATGCTTAACCGTATGCCTTCAGCGTAGCAAGTCCGATGAGACTATGAAGGCCAGCATCGATGCTGAATCTCGCCGAACCCTAGGCTATGGATTCTGGAGAGGTGTGTGATGCTACAAATACCGTTCAGCTTCAGAATACTTATTACATGTGGAAGATATATAAAGTTAGTGTATCAACAGAGTTACAGTACTAATGATGTATACTGGATAGCAGTAGAACCCAGGATGCATACTTCGTCCTTTTTGGGATTCATCAGCTGGATGTACCTTCCTCTCAGTGAGTTATGTTGTTCCCACCGGGATTTGAACTTCTGATCGATCGCTTCGAACGTCAGAGCGTTGTCCACTAGACCACCGAGCCACTTTAGCCACTTCTTGTGGGATGGGTATAGTTTTTAGAGAGCGATCAATCCGATCAATCAACGACGACATAATACAAGCAATAACATTAAGAGTCACAGTACATTTTATATTTCATCCAGTCTTTGTTCCAGGTTCCATGATAAAAAGTAGAAGTTCATGAGGAATGTATAGCAGCTCATAAAATCAAACATTATGATTTTGTCGAGTATATTTGAATTTTACAGATAACTGACAACCAGATGCAGGTAGCAATATTTCATGTATAGCTGACCAATTTAAAAGGTGATCAACACATAGAAAGAACACCGAAAGTGTACCATGCTACACTCAACATATCAAATTTTATCTCGATTATTAACTCTTCTTGCGATATACAGTGAGGTTCACTATCAAGGTAATAAAAATCGAGAAAAGTTCAGCCTGGAGAAAATTTTCAGTCATTTGCGTGACTAGTTGACTTCCTCTTAAGTAGCATGACAGATAAAATTTTGTCATGATATCAGCCTACTTATTTGTAAGCTCGTTTGTTAGTTACACACTATTGATTTAAATGCTACCAAGAATAACTTCCTATTCTTTTATGAATATTATGTATATGTGCCTCTACAGCGATTTATGTAGCGCTTGATATTGCATGGTAACTGCAAGTTTGTTGTTGTATGGTTTTCAGCATTTTTGTCAAATATTATCTCATCCTACTTCGATTTCAACCCGAATTACTAACTCATCAACTTTTGCGTGTTTTTAGATTTCAATTTAGAGCTGTAAACCGAATGTTGTATTTATGACAATGTTACGTGCAAGAGAGCTGAAGATAAGCAAGCAAACAACTGTACTAAATTTCTTGTCGCTCTTTTCAACAATTTTTCTTACATCTCACATGTGGTCTCATTGTTTAACGTTCTCTTACCTGTATGGAACTCTGTTTAGCAGGCAGCGTATAATTGGCATTTTCATTCATAATGATCTCCGTGGTTTACACCATTTCTTCACTCTTGATAATATTTAAAAGAGTTATTACTTTTCTGAAAAGAGAATGGTTGAAAATAACCTTCCGTAAGATTTTTAAATAAAAATACAAATTTAAACCACAGACAAAGGGGAATTCATCTTAACACAAAGATATTTCATAATCCTTTGAGATTTCAGGGTGATAGACACATGAGTGAGACGAAGAGGAAATATTACTCTCACTCACTCACTCACTCACTCACTCACTCACTCACTCACTCACTCACTCACTCACTCACTCACTCACTCACTCACTCACTCACTCACTCACTCACTCACTCACTCACTCACTCACTCACTCACTCACTCACTCACTCACTCACTCACTCACTCACTCGCCCACTCACTCACTCACTCACTCACTCACTCACTCACTCACTCACTCACTCACTCACTTACTTACTCACTCACTCATTAACTAACTAATTAACTAACTAACTCACCCTGAAAAAGAAATATTTGAAGGGACTAAGTGTCTGTCGTTGAAAATGCTAAATATTTTGGTCCCACAGTCTTGGAAATATGGTTGTTAAGAAAACGTTACTGGCCCAATCCCATTGAATATTTTCTTTCCATGTTACTGATGAGATTACTTTTATTTTGAAAGTTTAGGAAATGTAATAAAGCATAATTAACCTAACAGTGGCTTTACTGTAGGAAAATGAAGTAAAATTCCTGTAATTTAGCTGATGTTTGAATAAAAGGATGCTTCAATTAAGCAAATAGTAAAGTATTTCTTATTCAAAGCCTTTATTATTATAGTGAATGCTACTGATAAACTTTGTCTTCATGTGCTTTTCATGTTCATTTCTGACCATGTACGTTTTTTAATTGGGTTCCCAAATCCCTTTCAAATAACGACTACAGTTTCTCAATGCGTATCATTATTTCAACGTATTTCGATTGTACCATCCTTTGTTTGCATTTGTCTGGAAATTTACCTTTCTTGTCTTTAGGCGTTCAATTATTTTTCTATAAAGACCTGAAGCAATTTATTGTGGAAAGATATGAATACTCGCTGAGGATGTTTATCGCTCATAAATGTCTGTTTTAAAACACTAACAATAATTTGAAATAAGCGACTCTTATTTACATAATTGGTTCCTGGTGATAATTTTTCATCACCTAAAGGCAATGGACAACTGCTTTATATGAGTTAGGTAATCCTTAGTATCATACAGCGAAACCAAGAAGTCAGGACCATGAGCAAACACTTTGCTACAGAATCGTGTATGGTGCAATATTTCGTATTAGGCTTATTTTTAAATAAGAGTTTTTTTTACAAAGATGTTTTAAACTCAGGTATACCTAAGTCAAGAGAGAATAACAATGTTCATGACTATTCAGTAGTGTAGACTACTTGGTTTCAAACTTATTATTTCAATATGCATATTGCGGCATAAACGAAAATTCCCGGCTTATCATTCCTTGTCAGATATAGGGCAAGAAGTTCTTATCAAAAATTAGGTGGTTATACAACATGTCTTCATTTTCAGCGTTTCCATAGTTCAATACAGTTCATGATGTATTTAGGATAAAAGTGAATAACCATACTTAAAAATGTATGTGCTTTTTAAATTATGACCTATTGTACGCTAAGCTTTACTGCTTTTTAAATTCACTGCTTGGAATTAGTAAACCTAAGACTTTATACAAATTGTTATATTTTTCATCGTAATTTGTTTCCTTTGATAATTTAGAAAAAAAAGTAAGAAGGACCACTAGAACTTCAAACAACATAACTTACTTTAATTTTCCTTGGTAATTGATCAAAAACTCTTGATAGAAATTACTGAACTTATAAACTGTTAAGTTATAACAGTTAGATCTCTAGCTGATCAACAAATAATTTACAAAAGGTATGCGTGTTCAACTTATTTAGTTTAACAAGACTCAGGGTATTCTAAGGAGGAGGAACAGGATGGGCTATCGGTAGCTTACCAACTTTTGTATAGGAATTGGAGAACTTATGCTTTTTCAGGGATTTAAAAATCGTACTAGATACTGAATGCTGTTTGATAACTTGTGATTAAATGGTTTATTCCTTATTGCTTTTGACTTACATAAACTTTTGAAACTTTTGCAGGTTAAGAGCTAAAAGTCAACCTAAGAAGTTTTGAGAACAGTTGTTAATATCTGTGCAATGAAAAAGTTATGAAACTTGTTTATTTTGTCCTGACATCATAGGTTTATTTGTTAAGTGAACTTGCAGGTTATTTTGTCTACGTTTCTGTTGTTGTTTTAAACGATGAGA